GGATATTGTTGATTTCTGGATTTGTGAGAGGTTTTAACTGTTCTTTCTTATCTTTATGCTGTCTTCTTTTTCACTTTTATGGATAATTATATAAGTACCTTGCTTAAAATTTCCAACTTTTTGTCAAGTTGATACGAGTATTAGGATCTCTTGTTCGTCCGGGTACCTTCTCATGCTTCCACTTGTTAATTCACAATTTTCTGAACACTTGCCTGTAGGAGTTGCACTTGATCCATCAAAATGTAGTAAATTGAGTATGGATGAAAAGAGAGAACTTGTCTACGAATTATCAAAGAGGACAAATAGGGCCCCTGAAATGCTACAATCATGGAGCCGTCAGGAGATTTTACAGATCCTATGTGCAGAGATGGGGAAGGAAAGGAAATATACTGGCTTGACTAAACTGAAAATTATAGAAAACCTTTTGAAAATTGTAGCTGAAAAGAATTCAGGGGATCATGAGGGTGTAACAGATCCTGAATCCCAATCTTCCCCGACAAATGGCCAGAGAACATCAAAAAGGCAGAGGAAAGCTGATCATCCTTCCCGACTGCCTGTTCCAATGCATGATCTTCCACTCTATAATGGTGGCAATGACATGAATAATGCTATTTATTGCAAAAACTCGGCTTGCAAAGCTACCATGAGACAAGAAGATGCATTTTGCAAGAGGTGTTCCTGCTGCATCTGTTATAAGTTTGATGACAACAAGGATCCAAGCCTTTGGTTAATTTGCAGCTCAGAGCCTCCTTTCCAGGGCAATTCTTGTGGCATGTCATGTCATCTTGAGTGCGGTTTAAAACATGAAAAGTCTGGTATTGGAAAAGATAAACGACAAGCTGGACTTGATGGGAGCTTTTATTGCGTAGCATGTGGGAAAGTAAATGATTTGCTCGGGTAAATACTCCTAGATGTTCTCTATACTCTTCTCTGTCTCTCTCTCTGCATATATATATTTATTTATTTATCTTTGTTTGTGTTTTGTCTGTGGGTTTCATTTTTGTATACTGTTCTGTGAATTTGAGTTTTTGTTTTCTTCTTTTGCTTTTTTCTATTTTGTTTGGGTGCTTTGCAGATCTTTTGGTCCTTAGAAGTTATGGATATTTACCACAAACCATAAATTCTAGCACTTGTTTATGCTAGTAATTTGTTTAAAGAATATCCTAAATTTATCTCTTAGATTGGTTCCATTGTGTAACTCATGTTTGTGATTCTATAAGCACTGGGAGATGACTGATTTGTAATGGAATCAGATAATATCAAACTTTCCATGGACTGTGTTCTGCAGCTCTGTTTACTCGTGACAGTTTTATGTGTCTTTTTGTTTTGTTTTTTGCTTTTTTGTTTTTGTTTTTTTTTTATTTTTATTTTTGTTTTTGTTTTTGTTTTTGTCTTTTTTTTTTTTTTTTTGTGAGTGAATGCACTTTGCTTATGCCTATGGATAATTTCTATAATCCATTTATCATTTTACAATTTTTTCCAATTTTATTGTCGACAGTAATTTGAATTGTTTTGGCAATTATGTAAAAAAAAGGTTGAGATACTACTAATATCTGGCTATGATGACAGAATCTTTAAGTTGCAGAATTTCTTTAATATCTCGATGTGAAATCATAAAGGATTAGCTTGGAACTTTTAAACTTCAATGGATAACATAAAGGAAACATTTCATAATGGAGAGAGGTTGATCTGGTTTGAAGGGGTAGCTGCATGACTGGAACTTCTGGATAAAATGAACCAAGATGCTGAAACTGGTTATTTGCACTTAAAATCCAATGAACCAGGATAATTAGTTACATTGTTGCCTGAATGGTGAGAGAACAGGTTCGAGTGTGATGCAACATATTTAAAAACTTAACTAATGATACAAGTATTGGCCTGATATAGTTGCATAACATAAAAAATTCTGCATACCAGTTTTATTATCAAGAAACTGTCATTTATTTTGTGTTACCGACTAGCGCATGCATCATTGACATATTAATGTGCTAAGGTTTCCTATCACTTCAGTGAAAGCCTAGATTTCACTGTTGATTTCTGCAAAACAGTTGGAATGATGGAATCTTTTTGTGTAAATTAAATTTGATACTGATACTCTAATAATGCTCCTTACAACACTAACTAAGGAAGAAGGCATGTAAATATAAATATACTATACCAACAATGGTGATTGTGTTAAATGATACTTTTGTTATTTATTCAATCAAGAATGTCAATACACAGTCTGATCGAATTTCACATATGCATTTAGGTGCTGGAGAAAACAACTGATGGCTGCAAAAGATACAAGGAGGGTGGACATACTTTGTTATCGTGCCTCTTTAGGCCAAAAACTTCTTAATGGGACTGAAAAATACCGAAAGCTTTCTGAGATTGTTGATGAAGCTGTTAAGAAGCTAGAAGCTGAAGTAGGTCCATTAACTGGTGTGCCTGTGAAGATGGGCAGGGGAATTGTCAATAGGCTTTCTTCAGGACCAGAAGTTCAGAAACTCTGTTCTTCTGCGGTGGAGTCGCTAGACAAAATGGTTTTTCATACTGTCTCAAATTCTTCACCAACTCATTCAATACCAGGTAATCTTTTACTTCTTGTATTCTTGATTAAATGGGTTTTCTATAAGCTCAGATGAAGTGTTAGTCCTATGTAATCTTTTACATTTCAGTCATTTACTGCGCAGTCACCTAACCTTCATGTTAATTTTTGATGTGATTTTGTTTTGCTGATTTTGTGTATCAACTTGTCCTTCATTTTCAGCAGGTTCAATTTCGCCAGCAATAGTACGCTTTGAAGATGTTCATCCAACTTCCCTTACTGTGGTTGTGGGTTCTGAAGAAACTTTACCAGGCAGTGTTATTGGTTACACCTTGTGGCATCGCAAGGTTCATGATAGGGATTACCCTGTTAAATCAACTTGTACCCTATTTGTGCCAAATACAAGGTTTGTTGTCACACGGCTGACTCCATCTACAGAGTATCATTTCAAAATTATCTCCTTTAATGGTACAAGAGAGTTCGGTCCATGGGAAGTTCCAATTTCAACAGCTTGTAGTGGGAATGAAGTCCCAAGCTGCCCAGTGATGGAAAGAAGTCAAAGCCCAGCAACGAACTGTAGCAGCCTTTCTAATCCATCTTCGGTGGAGGATGAAACTAATAACATTACTCCATACAGTGATCAGAATGATGACCGGGCAGACAATTATGTGGCACATTGCAAGGACACTGATAAAATTGTTTCCTCGAATCTATCTAAAGATGCTATTAACTGCACTGTCCTTGGTGAAGATGGAGTTCCTGCAGCTGCAGTTTCTCTGTTGGGTGAGGAATGTGCCATGCAGATAGTTGGTCCTATGCCTGATTTTGTTGTCCTAAATGTTGAGAAAAAGCACACATCAGAGGATCCAATTATTGTGGAGACAAGCACTGATAACTGCTTTGATATCCCGGTTCAGACTGGTAACGAGTGTGTGCCATTTGTGGGTTGCTCAGAAGCTGGCTTGCCCATTACTCCCTGCAGGATGGAAATAATTAAAGATCGACAAGGAAGGAGTGGGAGATCTAAATCCAGCAGCAAGGACCTGGAGAATGGGACTGGGAAAGGAGAAGATCCCCAAGATGGCAGCACCTCAAAGAAGAGAAGTGGGGAAAGGCGGGACGAAGAATGTGTGGAAAATGGTCTCTCAGATACGGATTTTGAGCATTGCGTGAAGGTAATCAGATGGTTAGAGTGTAAGGGACATATTGAGAAGAACTTTAGGCAGAAATTCCTCACCTGGTACAGCTTGAGAGCAACCCCACAGGAGGTCAGGGTTGTGAAGGTCTTTGTTGATATCTTCATTTCAGATCCAGCATCACTTGCCGAGCAACTTGTGGACACATTTTCGGATTTTATCTCGAGCAAAAGATCATCTGTCGTGCCTGCTGGCTTTTGCATGAAGCTTTGGCATTGACATCAATGGGTCATGCTGAAATCAAGTAGTTTTTGAGTGCAAACCTGCTCAGGGTTTGTGTTAGCGTAATTCTTTAGACCCATAACATTCTTCATTTAGACTGTCACCATTAGCTTTTGTCATTTTTATGATTACGTAAGAATCCCATAATTCTTATCCTTTTATATAATAGTTACTCAGGTAGTAAGTCCTAAGTCCTAATGGCGTTTCAGTTTCATTCATTATAATTTCTTTATACATGTCTCAACTAAAATCACAAGCAGTGTAATGGATGCATCAACATACACTAGACTTTCATTTTCAAATATATTTCTTGGGGTTGTTGGTGCTTAGGAGTTGTACCTAGAATGTCAATTGCAGGCTGGGATTTGCATTGCCCTTTTTCTTAGCTTTTATTTATAGATATTAGGATGCTTTTGGTTAGGGATGTAATCGGGTGGAGTTTGGGATAAGATGCGTGGTGTATTTTTCAATTTTATTTTCGAATTTTTATATTATATTTATTTTTCCGTCTAAAGGTATTTTAAATATTTATTTATTTTTATTATTGTGGGGGATTTAATGGGTGCAAATAAACTTCAAACCTGTAACTCTTTCAAAGACATTAAAAATTTTTAAAAAAACTTTAATATTTAAATTTTCGTACTCATATCCCTTTAAAGAAAATTAAAAATAGAAAAAAAAACCTTTAATATTAAGGCTTTGTTAGTGAAAATTGCTTTTCAAAAAATACTTTATGAAAAATATTGATATTTGCCGAAAAAATGAAAAAATTTTGTTGTTTGAATGACTTAATAAATATATTTTTTGTAATTTAGTAATTTTATGAAAAATTTATTCTTTTTCAAATAGTAATATTGATATATTATTAAAATATTGAAAATAATTTATTATTAAAATATTAAAATATTATATTAATATTAAATACTCGAAGAATAATATTTATTATTAAAACGGTATTTATATTAATACTTTAAAACATTTAAAATAGCATTATTAGTGGGGTATGTAGGCTTGGGGTTTGAATGCAAGCAATCCTTGGCCCCATCCCTCTATGAAATATGAATCAATCTCTTGTGTGTATATATATAAACCTTGGAATCTAAAATTTGCATACCCTTGACTTTTCTTTTCTTTTTTTCTTTTTTAATTTTCATTCTAAATCTTCTCTTATTGGGAGAATGAAATAAAAAAAATTAAAAAGAAAAGAAAAAGAGAGAAGGTGAAAGGAGTTTGTAAATGGAAGATCGAATGTAACCACAGCAGTTTCATCAGATTAGGACCCAAACGCAATCTCCATCAAGTACCCCACAATCGGTTGATCAACTTTTGCTTCGATTTCGGAGTAAAAATCGCATACATAATAAGGAACAAAGACAGGCAATGTCACTTCCTATTTATGCCAGGCACTACATTTAAGCCTATGACTTAACACTCCCTCACATGCATGAATTATCCATTATCACCCACACAAATTCTTTCAATTGCACCCCCTTTCTCCTTCCCCTTAAACCACTCAAATATCCATCTTTGACTCTCTTAATCATTTAACAGTAATAAAGAGGATAGTTGAACTGCTTTTGAGTTGGTGTTTTTCTTTTTTTCGTCTTTCTTGGTTGCTAGCTAGCTCCTGCATGAAACAAAGTTCCTTGTCTTGTTTCTCACTGTTGCAATGAAGTATATCCGAACCAACAGCTGGAAACGGTTGTTTTCATTAAAACGACGCAGTTTTGAGGATGATGTTTCAAACCAACTTGGGGTTTTTGAAGGAGAAGACAACAGCAAAGATGGCTTCAAGATTGTTTCAGTTGCAGAGCAATCTCGGAGACCTTCTTGGAGATGCTTCTCCTTTGAAGAAATTTTTGTTGCCACCAATGCTTTTTGCTCAGGTTTTTTGAACCGTTCAAGCCTTTTGTTTTAGGGGCTCAAGTTTTTATTTGTTTTTGTGGGTTTTAATGCTTTCCATTTGGTTATGTGGATAAACAGAGAATTTGGTAGGGAAAGGAGGGTGTGCAGAGGTATACAAAGGAGTGTTAAAGGATGGGGAAGAGATTGCAGTGAAGAGGCTAACAGAAGCTTCAACTGATGAAAGGAAAGGGAAGGCTTTCTTGACAGAAATTGGAACTATTGGTCATGCCTGCCATCCAAATGTATTGGCACTTTTAGGCTGTTGCATTGACAATGGCCTTTATCTCATCTTTCAGTTCTCTTCCAGAGGCTCTGTTGCTTCACTTCTCCATGGTACAAAATGTAAAACTATTATTTTTTTTCCCTTTTCCCTATCAATGCCAACTATTTCATTTCTGGGTTTCTTTTACTCCGTTGAATGTTTTGGAATGTCTTTTCTTCGTTGAGTTTTTGTCACTGCAGATGTGAAATTGCCACCAATGGACTGGAAAACAAGGTACAAGATTGCAATTGGTACTGCAAGAGGACTCCATTACTTGCATAGAGTGTGTCAAAGGAGGATAATTCACCGTGACATAAAGTCTTCAAATATTCTATTGACTGCAGATTTTGATGCTCAGGTACCCATATCAAGTTTGCTCTGTTTGACTTTCTATGATCAGACTAATATTTGAGTTTGATAGTATTCTTTTTTAACTCTTTCTTTTAAAATTTATGTTGTAGATATCAGATTTTGGACTAGCAAAATGGCTTCCTTCTCAGTGGACACACCATTCTATTGCTCCAATTGAAGGGACATTTGGGTACTGTATTCTACAAACCATTTCTATTTTCTTTTCTTTTCCTTTTTTAAACCAAAACTATAAAGATGCACTGGTTTTAATGGCTATACTATATGTCATGTAGGCATTTAGCGCCTGAGTACTTTATGCATGGAATTGTGGATGAGAAGACAGATGTGTTTGCATTTGGAGTTTTCATGTTAGAGATTGTTTCAGGGAGGAAACCAGTTGATGCCTCTCACCTAAGCTTGCACTGCTGGGTAATATTTGCCTCTCCTCATCTTCCATTAATGATTATGTGAATTTCATGCCTATACATATCAGTTGTTATACCTTCTGAACTCAACAGGCAAAACCACTGTTGGACCGAGAGGAGATTGAAAAATTGGTAGATCCAAGGCTCCGAGGGGCCTTTGACATTTCACAGCTAAAAAAACTTGCATTTACCGCATCTCTTTGCATTCGAGCATCTTCAGCATGGCGTCCTACCATGAACGAGGTATACTAATATCTGCTATATATAATATATGCTGCTGGACCATGACTGTGAATCAACAATAATTCAATTATCAGGAGCTAGTGCTCCAGAGACCGTTCGTAGGAATTTCAGATGCTGACTATTGCTTCAATATCTACCAGTCTAGTTATTTTTTGAAACCAAGTTCTTTTGAACAATGATATTTGCAGACAAGTGGTCCATTTCTTATCCCCGGAAAAGAAGGCTCTAATTCAATGCTATTTCATCCTTCTGAATTAACAACTCAGATACATTAATTAACCTATAGCTTTGATCAGCAAACAAAACTTTTTGATAAGGATCATTAGGTTACAGCAACATATACGTCGCATCCATGGATACAATAGTTACGTTTTGGTTGATAACTGAGTGACTGACAGTACTCATACAGGCCTTTTCTGTATCTTAAAAGACCAACTGTGATTTTGTCGGCTGTAATCTCAAAATTTTGGTGGTTTGCCTGTAATGACTTTGCATATCATTTTCACCAGTAAGGAATGCAACATGCAAACTTAGATTTGGTCATTTTTTGGGCATCCGCCTTTTACGCAATCCCAATTAGTCAGAGGATGCTCTATGCTACCTAACCTAAATTTTTAAGCCAATACAGAAGCAAAAATATTGCAAACCCATGTGATTACAAGGTTCAGTGTATCATTACTAAATGATTGGAAAAGTCAGTGTACTTCCCCTTTTCTCTATAATTTAGATTATTTGGTTAGAAATTTGGGATTTAATTACTCTTGCTGATCAGGAAACTGAAATGGAAGTGCAATTTTGATTATTTTCCCATACTAGCTGCTAAAATTTGTTCATTTAAAGTTTAAAATTGTCACATGCATTAAAAAAAAGGGAAAATGTTTACCTGAAAAGTCATGATAGAAACATGTAATTTATTGAGTTCATGGGGTCTCATTTTCTTGTCATGAATCACATAAAGCAAATGTTGCTCAAGCTCCCTTTTGACATTTCAAAGTTATGCACAAACAAAGTTGATGAATTATCAAATTTCTATATATGATGATGACAAAATAGATCTTTATTTATTTAGCCATATCTTGGAGTCAAATTTCACTTCCTGTTAAACACATAGGTTTTGGAAGTTCTTATGGAAGGGGATACTGATAAAGAGAGGTGGAAAATGCCAGAAGAAGAAGACCAAGAAGAATTCTGGGGCTTTGAGGATCTTGAATATGAATGTCACAGTTGTTTCTCTGTTTCTCCACAAGAATATTCAATCTCTACCACAAGTTCTTAAAGTGAAAAATAATCCAATCTTCATGTAAATACAAATATTTTGCAATTATAAATACCATATATATATGTATATATATAGTGAACTGTTGCACCTTTGAAAGATAAATTTTTGCAACACTAAAATTCCATCCTTAAACATTTATAAATTCTCCATCCTAATTGTGAAATTCTTGATCTCAATCTTAAAGCCAAGCGACTGTATGAGGTTGATTTAAGCTTCCATTTTGTATGGATGGACAGTGAAGTGTTAGAAAAGGACAAGTATTATTGCTCATTGAAGAAACATCAATTATCATTAGTGCTGTCATGTTGGCTTCCCCATGTTCCTGATGAGTTTTCATGGTAGGTAGACAGAGAAAAAAAAACAAATAAATAATAACTATATTAATTATTAACTAATGATAACCATAATAAGGATGGCTGAGAAGCAATGACAGCCAAAAAATTAGACAATGCGTCACGCTGTCATGCCAGGTAGGTTATACAGTAGAGCCTGCCATTGGTGGAACCCATGCCAGATGTGTTCTTCAAATTCTGAATCACATTTTTGCTTTTTCGGGACATAATTTGAGGTCCCCCATACATAGCCCGATCAATCATCTCCTTACATAAGCTCAAATTATTTATTGTTTAAACTTGTTTAAGAACTTCAGTGTTGATGAATACTTTATTGTCTAAATTTTAATTTGAAATGAAAGATATATATATATATATAAATATTTCAGTAGATAATGATCCACAAAGTTTATGCCATATGATTCAGTTATGTAAAAAAGTGAGCAAGACACATGGCGATTGATGGACAGCCAGACTTGCCTCCTGATAAGGGGCCAGCTGGCAGGCATAAATTATTGCTCCAAAAAAAAAAAAAAAGAGACCACGGATAACGTGTTAGTTGAACGCTGGGAGTGCCTTGTTTTAATCTTACTTAAAAGGAAATTACAATAATAATAATAATATGATTAACAAGTTGAGAAGTTGTTTAACTAGTGCAACGACAAGCTTAAAACGTGGCGTTTTGAGATGGCAAACATTTGTTTAAATAAGACATACAAAGACTATGATTTGTTATAGTGAGTTGATCAAATTAAGTTATCCATCTTTTTACTAATTTAATAAATTTACTTGATCAAAACCCTATTATAAACAAAGGGCCAAATCCTTGGTTTAATTTTGAAAAACCTGATCTGTTTCACCTTTCGTACCATTTCTCAATGAATTATTGTGGATATTTATTTATATAACATGAGGTTTAAGAATTGTGAAAATTAAATATTTATAATTTTTAGAATTTATATTTGCATATGAATATATATATATATATATGTATGCATATAATGAAGGTTTGTTTGTGTATGTAAATAAATTGTATAGACAAAACACTCATCGCATGCCTCTTCTTGATCGTCCAGCCATAATTATTTATTTATTTATGTAAACCAGAAAGCATGGATGTAAATTACTCTAGTTCTAGTAACATATTAGTCAACTACACCAATTTAGATGGGATTGAAAGGAATTTTGACTTGCATTTTAGGCAGTGAAGCCGTGGAGAATTTACTAGAAACCTAATGGACACCTTTTATGAAACTCAAGAGGCTCTCGCTGAAGGTCCAGCCCAGTTTTTTGGGTCAAAATTATGACCTTAGTTTCCCAAATATGACAAAAAATGAACACATATCCCTCCCTCCCTATTCAAGATACAAAATTTCAAAGCTGCCTGGCAACGAGGTATCACTCTGTCCTTATAGCTTGTTGGTACTGACCTCAAGCCTCCCCCGCTGAACTCATTTGGAATATATCATACTTAATCAACCAGACGGCTTCCTCCATTGTTGATGTTTCAAAAGAACACTCACATCACATCTATCATCAGTCAAATAGACAGGAATAAGAAACACCTGTATGTATCTCAACACCCTCTAGAGTTACTCCGTCCTCTTTTCCAATAAGGATTCAAGGAAAGTCCGACACAATTTGGTAAGGGGTGGAAGATTGTGAGATGATCCGGCGAATATTGTTTCCCAAGGTCTCTCATATGGAAACGATGGAACCCAAGGAGTTCCGTTTCTCTTCATGTCAAACTCTGGTAGCTCTCCATAGATGGATGCATACCCAAATTGCCCTGCTTGCCCTGTAATAGCAGAGATAAAGAGCAGGATAAAAGAAGAAAGTAGAAATAGTCCTGAGATAACATAGTTTCTGCAATAACTTATCATCATTAACTGAATTTCTTGTGTGTATGTGTTGGGTAGGTCACATGTTCCAAGTATCATATCATAATAATAAGAGTCTTACTAGATGAGAATCTAACTGGACATGATCATACAAAACTTTTCAACCTACATGTGATATCCTTTTTAGTGTTTATAATTCATAATTTCAGATAAACAGGGACTGCAAATCTAGCATTTCAAGGGATAAATAAAATAGGATAACTAGTGATGATAGTGCACTAGTGACTATCATGTACTTGATTTGGAGGTTATGATTACTTTAAGGAAACCTCACCTTTGGGTTCAAGGGCAGCGAGACCTTCTTTATGGCTCACGCTAACCTCATAGGCATCTTTGCTGTATGGATCAAAGAGTACATATTCATGATCACCATTCATATACACAAGCAGCACCTCAGGTGTTTTACCATCTATACTGATCTCTTCAGCAGAAGATGGATTTACTTGAAGAAGACCAAGAGCCCCACCCTTGGCCTGCAATAACCAAATAAAGGATCACATTACAACATCATTCTTCCCCTGTTATCCTACTCTATGAAATACAATGATTACCAAGTATGCTAATATAGGAGAAGAATATGCTACCACCAAAGCGATAGTTAACCATGGTATGGCATGTAATGCAACAAGTTTTCAGGTTACGCGCACACACACATGTCATCATCATCAAAAGATTTCTGGTGTATGCCCTTACAATTACTTAAAGAGTCATTTGTTAGAAGAGAAAATGGCTGAAAAATATAACTTTAGTGTTATCTCTCTCTCTATTTGTTCAAAAATTACGATGATTTCCGGCCTCTTGCTCCCATGTTTATGTTATCACCCTTGTATAAATAGACATGATGAAATTCAGAATGCTAAACGTTGTACTGGCAGAAGAAATTTCCATTATCATAGGGAACCAGTACTAAATGCTTGTTGCCAGCCTAGAAACAACTTTTGCAAAGGTTGCTCACTCAAAAAACAGAAAATTTCAAGGCAACAACAGTTACTGCCTGGTAATCCAAAATAACAATATTATAACTGTTTCCATTTGATAGTTCATGCAGATTAACTTTTCTTAAAAGTCATATCAATACAGTAAAATACAGAGAAACCAATAACCAATTTTAATTTTTATCTTCAATAAATAATGCTTTAGCAATATAATCTTCTCTAGAGTTAAACAAAAGAAAATTTCAAATAAATTTTAGAAGTGCTGAAAAATAATGTTACTAGGCTACTAGATCTGCCTGATTGCTAGTTAGTCTGAAAACAAAATCACAATTCTTAATAAATTTGACTTTTGGGCATGTATATTTATCTATCTTCATCACAAGCTCGGGTTTTCAATTCATTCCAATGATGGTTAAAAATGGAATGAGATCATACCTTCCTCACGGACCAAATTGCAGTAGGAACAGGATCTATTGCATTAAATAATAAGATAACACCATCCCTTCCTTCAAAAGTTGTTTCATTAGATGGTTCAGGAAGAAGGGCCAGGACAGCAAAAGAAGATAAATCAACTGCTGAAGCTACAGCTGCACAAAATAAAATTAACAACATAAAAATCTAACTTTGCCAGAAACAGCAACTTAAGTAAAAACTCATTTTGACCTGACACAAATGTCATATGCATGAGTGCAGTAGCACAGGGCACAAAATAAGGGAAGTAGATTCCAACATTACAAATCAATAGTTTCAACTACTAAACACATCCACTATATTTTACAAATTGGGGTGCCACAAAGCCAAAGCAGTTTCAAAATTTGACATCATTGGAGACAGGACTCATTGAATATGATAAATCACATATGAAAAGAGGAGAGCAATCACATTCTAAATTTGTTTGCATACTTTACATAACTTGTCTTTTCCACTAATAGTGAGTTAATGTTCTAGCTACTTTAAATTTAAGGCTACTAGCAGAGGGTTTTATTGAATCACTGAAAATTGGAAATGCAGATATTTGTAGTCTTGCAGATGATTTTAACATTCATTATTCAGGCTTCTCTAAGGTAATCAGCAATGTTGACCAGTGTTTCACAATTATACAACTCAACATGCAAAATTAGAAAAAATTACAATTAGCACAAGTAACACTAGTTCAGCAATCATCTTAGATCTGACGATGATCTACCTCTAGCTTTCACCAAAAAAAGGCATACAACTTAAAGCAGGAGAATCGCAAAATTTATTGCTTCAAGAATTGTATTTAGATACTAATTCTTTGTTTTTTTCTTTTTTTTTGTGGCTAAAAATTCTAATACTAATTATATTCAGAAAAAATGAACCTGGTACCTCTCCAGGCCTCAGAAGATCTCAATAATATTAGTAATTATATTATTAGCTGAAAAGGAAAAGAGTTTCACCTTCTACACAAAGCTTATATGACCACGATAGAGATAACTTTGACATACTCCAAAGAGACAGTTGTGGTTTTGAACCACGTGATGCAGCTACAAGGTTATCTGACTTCCCAATGAATGATAGGGTCACAACTGGCTGTGGGAAAAGAAACGTAGAAACAATTAACCTTGGACTAAGGATTTAAACATTCAAGGTACAAGAATGCAGTAGGAAAGACAGAAACTCATATACCGTCAAATAGTAGAACTCATTTTTTTGAAGATAGTGATAAAGGAACTCTTTTTGCACACAAAAACTAGAAAAAAAAAAAAGGAGATGGCTCATTTTCCAACAAAGAAGAAATTATCAGCATAACTAAATCAAATCTTGAGAATTTCCAACAAAATAGGAAATTAAATTCCCAAATTGGTTCCTTTACTTTGCCTTTCTTGTTGGCACTTTTAATCCATTATTCCCTTATTTAG